AAGAATGCTAGAAGGAAATTCTGAATCCTTGTTTTGTTGGGAATGTTGTGCTTGTTTTCTACAAGCTCAGTTTGTTTTTTAATGGAGTGGTTTATTTTGTTTATTTTTGTGCTCCCATCAAAAGCTGTGTGTTGAACTTCATTGTATATTTTTCTTTTTTGGTTATAATATGACTTACTTATCCAAAAAAAAAAAAATCTAATGATGATGATTTTGATGAAAAATATTATCTTTGTCATGGCAGGATTTTAAGTGATTTATCACCTTCTATCTATAATATTCTTTGCAATACAAAAACTCCTATTGAATTGTGGAAAGCACTTGATTTTAAATATGGGTCTAAAGATGTTGGTCTTAAACATTATTATGTTGAAAATTTTTTAGACTTTCATAGATTGATGGTAAATCGGTTATGGAACAAGTGCATAAATTTTAAAATATTTTGTATGATCTGAAAAGAAAAGGAATGGATTTATCTGATTTTTTTTGGTTGCTTCACTGATTAAAAAATTACCTTCATCTTGGTCAAAATTTGGTAAAATGTTAAAACAAAAACATGATAATTATACCTTTGATGAATTGCTAGTACCCCAAAATATTGATTAAAAGCATCGTGAAAAATAAGCTGAGTTTTTAAATTTTGATTTTCGAGCCAAGGGACATTTTTTAGAAAATCTGTAACGCCCCCAAATTATTACAATTAATCCAATCCTTCAAATAGAATGTTAATAGAAATCATATGTTTTCATTCATAAGAGTTCGTATTATAAAAGATATCACATGCAGTAGACATTCATTAATGTTCATTCTGTATCTATAACATATATTACCAGTTAATAATCAACAAAATAAATGCCCTACGGGTTTACACCTTTCCAAGAAATTGCTTGGTTACAGCAAAATGAAGAGTCTAACTCAATACAACTTAGCCCTTGGTTATACAAAATAAATAAAACAAAAGGAAGCTCTTGCTCCAAGTCTCCCCAAACTACTGTCTCGGCAGAGGCATGTCTCCAACACCTGAAAATAGTTTCCAAGTAGGTGAGCCAAAGCCCAGTAGAAACATACTAACACAATATATGAGAATTAACAAGATATAAGTATGAAGCACATATTCATTGTCCTATGACAAAATCTGTATAACTCTTTCCACAACTATAGGCTAATTTAGTAACTTTTAGGCTATTTGGTTAAAATATGAGCTGAAAAAACTAATATGTTTGGGATGAACTTTTTACCTTTTTACGAAAAGATGTGTAAATAAATAATATTAGAATATAAAAGTTACAAACTTTACAATTTTGCCCTTCGGTGGATACGATGTATTGTTCCACAAGTGCAGAAATGCGATGTATTAACGTCACTTCGCAAATAGTATAAATATTTTTTTCTTTTTTTTTTTGAAAGTAATGTACTTTGACCAATGTGAAAGGAAAGGCATGTATAGTATAGTATCTAGTAGCAAACGTGGTAGCAAAATGTGTTCCGACCATTTTTTTGTTTTGAAAATATATATTTTTTTTCTGGAAACTTGTTGGAGTTTCACTGTAAAATATATGTATCAATATGTATTGATAGGCACCCTAAATAAATTATTAAAATTTTTATAAATTTTTTTACATGGGCATAGGATTCACATATATATGATTTGTAAGGGTCTCACATTCATATGAAAGGTTTGGTAAAAAAATTAGTAATTTATTTTGTGTCCATAGCATGTGCAAAAAATATTTTTGTAATGAATTCACCTTTTTTTACTTTCTTTTGGGCTTTTTTTTTTTTTTTGAGAGTATATTTTTTAATTTGAATAGAAATGGAGTTTGAGTACAGAACACATATAACAATATATACTCCCTTTGTCCTAGAATAATATTTTGTAATGAATAAATCACTTTTTTTATAGTATAATAGTAGCACTTGAAAACAAATTTGTTCAAAATTTTTCTTTCATAGTAAATTATTCATAGAATATCAGTTGTCATAATTTTATTTTAGTTGTTAGTAATGTAAAAGAAGGGCAACATAACAAGTGTATATATTAATATATTTTCGTTATTTTTGGAGGAACAAAATATAGTTTGGGACAATAAAAATACATTCATTGCATCAACAATCCGTAAAATATTTAATTTGCATGAACCATACGAGAATGCAAAATATGTCCATTGCATGAACACGTTTGTGAATTATTTACGTCATCTTCAAAAGTGTCAACAATTTCCTAACGTGCTCAATATGTCCTTACAAAACAACAAATTAAAATCAAACATTTCCAAAAAATTATTTATGACCAACCTTGTCCGACTACCGAGCATTTCGCCGAATTTTGTATAACTTCGCCCTTATCCGATGACGCACCTGCGCCATTTCAACGTCAACATCCTCGTCCGTAGGCATCATGGCATCGTGTAAGGCAACCAAATATGCGCGATCGGGAATATCGTCATATGTGTACTCTGCCACATTTCTTACAGCAACAACTAACGCATCATCTTTGTAGTTTCTGCGTATGAAATTGTGTAATGCCATAGATGCAGCCACCAACGGCACCTGCACCTTACGAAAATCAAACCGAGACATGTTGTGTAGGAATCTCCACTGCGACTTCCAAGCCCCAAATGTTCGCTCAATCACACTCCACAAAGAAGAGTGGGCGTGGTTGAACAACTCACCACGATTCCTCAGATTGTGACGTTGAAAGTGTGGTTAGTAGTAGTGGTTGCCCTTGTATGGTGCAAGAAATCCCTTCTTATTACTGTATCCACTATCCACCAGATAATACCGACCTGTCAATGTAAATATGTTAATACATATTTCTTTCACGTGTAGGCGAACAAACTGAACATATTATGACACATATCCTTACAATAACAAGATTGTCTTGCAAGTCATCAATGAGGTATTTATTTATGTTACATTTGTTACATTTTTAGTAATGTTTACATAAGGGTCTAACAATTAGAGTAGATTAAAGAAGCATGAGGATCTAACAATTTATGGATAGAAAAATTTTGTTGTCCGAACGTACCATCCAATGGAGTTGGAAAATTATATTATGGATCTTCAGTGACAATGTTTAAAATTCGGCTGTCATGCATGCTGCCCACCCAACCGCAGGACACAAAGACGAAACACATATTGAAATCACACACTGCCAAAATATTTTGAGCGTGGTAACCCTTTCGGCTGAAATACGGGGCTGCTTCAGACTTCCTTATGCACGCTGGCACGTGTGTCCCATCCAAGGCACCTAAACAATCCTACACAATTTGAACAGTAGCCAACCGAATAGTAACATCAAGTTATGTATTATAGCCTTGCATTTTTTAACTCACATCTTTGTAAAATTTAAAATGGAAATCGATTTGAAGCATAGTTTTGCGCACCTTGAACGACAAATGCTGTGGTTGGGACTGCAAGTGGGGATCCCTTCTGTTTTAGAAATCTGTGAGCGACCGACAATGTGCGACGGTGAACTTTTTCATTGCTTTCAAAACATTATGAAAATACTGTGATATTGTTTCACCAGAGTGTTGGAATCTTTCTTGGAGCTCTCTGTTAGGCAAGTTTTTGAGAACATGAATGAAGATTGCAACACTCTCCACAACATGCAAGCCGTGGTCCCGCTCAGGTACATGCAACCCGAAGTCGTTCACCAGTGTGGCACATAACGTGTAAAAACATGTTTCGGCATGCACAGTTCATAGCGAAATCTGCCACTGTGCCCGTTATACATTTCCGCTATCCATGCCCTCCCCGTCAAGATGGATGTACGACATAAGACTTTAAGCACATACGCCTTGTAGTAGTTCGAGGCTATTCTATACGCTTCAACATAATTATTATTCATTTCAGTCTGCCACTCGATTGCGAGCATAGCGACATCATCACACATTTCCTGCATCCACGCATCACTATCATCGTCGCTTTCCATGCCTAATTCACGTAACTTCAAATAAAATGAGAAGCATAACATGGCAGAATATTACTCTGGCAAAATTAAACATGGCAAAATTAAACATCAGTCAAAACTAAAGGCTCTCAAGAAAAGAAATGTTATGTATAAATAATCAATTACAGTTCCTTTGACATCCTTCTGAGAGCTTCTATTGTATAGTATTATTCCATTATCAATGGTCAAATCTTAAATATATAAATTGCACTTTCCTTGATACGTTAACACAACTAAAATATACAGAAAGAATTAGTAATCGTTTTTTTTTTTACTACCCTATAAAGGGTCTAACTTACACTTTTCACCTGAAGCCTTCAATAAACTTGAATTGTCTCTCTACAAATAGCAACTCTTTTGTTCAATTGGTCGAGTATAAAAGATTTAGAACCACTGTTTACATAACTAAAGCTGCAAATTGGAAGAGTTTGATCAAATTGATGGTTTATTCAAATTTAAAAATTACAAATCCAACCATAGCCAAACTCAAGTAATGCACATCCATAAATTAAAAACCAGGTAAACCATGTAGATGCATAACCAATTCAAGCAATTTTCCTTAAAAATAGGTAAAAACAAAGCATAGTTAAAATAGCAGGTCTTTAGGAAATAGAAAAACAACATATTTAAAAACGAAGTCCAAACAAAGCATAGTTAAAAAAGCAGGTCTTTAGGAAATAGAAAAACAACAAATTTAAAAACGAAGTCCTTCTTTGCGCAATATGCTCGCAAGAGTTGGAATAGTTGTCGTCCTCTCTTTGTCCTATTGCTTCACCTGGAGCCAGCCAATAATGCCTTCATCCGAAGGAATACTCATCACCATCTCCCTATTTTTGGGCACCTCCATAAGCGAAATTCCAAAATGGAGCAGTGGATTAGTTTGGTCAAGTCCCTGAATTTCATAAAGACGTCCAATTGTTTCAGCCATAGTGACACTATGGCCACCGACAACATAGTTTACAGTGAGTTCTTTGCTTTGGGTCTTCACTGAATTGACCAAATCACCCATGCTTGTTGCCAATGATTCCGCCCTGGTCATTCGCTTTTTTTACATGGCTGTGACGGATGAGTGCCTCCTTTTGCTGCCACTACCTGATACGTTAATGGTTACGGATTTTATCAAGTTAGCCATTTTAGACGCTCCCAATTCGTTGTTGTCCGTAGAAAAGTCAGCACTGTCGGACTCCCCTTCCACCTCCAACTGGTTCCGCGTCTCACCAAGCGTCCAAGCATTTTTACCTGTTGCCTCAACCCCAGTGAATACGCGACGCATCAACTCCTCATGATCCAACCGCTTTGTTCTGAACTTGCAACATTCTTTATCAACCTATAATATGATAGAATGAGAGTAGACAATTAGGAAAATGAATAACTTATGTATATGGAGTTTGCACAAGAGTAATGAACAATATAAGCATGAACAGTATAAGTGCTGATAACAAAAAAAAAAAAAAAAAATTGTCATGGCACGTTGCCTGTTTATTTCAATGTTGTAAACATGAACAGTATAAGTAAATGTTGTAATATATTTATGGAGTTTGACATCTATTTATGGCATAGTTGGATCATTCGACGCATAACAAAATTATGTAAACATAAGTTAAAATCGTTACCTTCTCCATTCTAGCCCACCATTCATCCGACGCATTGATCAACCCAGTCTCTTGGTCGAACCCAATTCCAGTGGGGCCTTTGTGGCTATCCTTCAGCTTCGACCATGCACGCCACTCCGTCTTAAGTTGATTGTACCTATTTTTAAGTTGTTTGATCGTACGTTTCAATCCAGTTGCTGCCTCATAAGTCTTACACAAAGACTGGTACCCATTCTGAGTGATTAACATGTGCGGCCTGTTACCTGCGTCTGGTTCCTTAAGAACAAGTTCCAAGAAGATACGTGTGTTCTCCCAGTCCCAATTTGCTTTGTGATTAGGTTTTGGGCCCTTCCCTTTGCCAGAAGGGGTACGAGAGCTGGATCGATTTGAGGCCATGCGACTATAAGTACATTATAATTTGCGTAAATTGTAGTTCATTAGTTATAGCAAAGATGTGAACCATATATTATTATGTTTGTATATTACGTATCGCATTATTGAAATCACAAAAGAAACCCAAGATGTTGATGGTCGCAAGTTGTACAAATGTTCAGTTTTGGAAGGAGATTGTCGTGCACACATTTTTGAACATAGAATTTAGAAACTACAACTTCGCAAACAACACTAAACACTGGGAACACATATGATAAGTAATATATTACATACAGAAAGCATAGTACGGTAACCATCTAAACACGGATACATATATTACATACGGAATAACAAAATAACGACGATGATGGACAAAAAACATGTGACAACTTTAAGTACACACAGAGTCTGTTCAATGTCAATCAAACGCACCTCAAAATGACGAACATTGTTTCTGTCATTCTCAGAAGGCGTTTGTCGGCCATATTCGTCACACCACCCAATCCAATTGACATATGGCTGAGGTTATAAAAAGTATTAGTGACGGTTTGACAAGGGAATTATCCCAAACAAGGTGAAGGGGCTTGTACTCACCACTCCACGAGGGCATTGGTAGTACGCACGTCCTGGATTTTTGGCGGACCGAGAAATCGTGACCACACAATGCCCATACCCACAAGCACACATAGGGCCTGGTTGCGTTGATGTGGTAGTCAACATAAACGAAATCATACAGTCTTTGATGACTTGTGTTGATGACATGACAAGCACAACAAAACAGGTAAATGGGTGTGACACTTATGCTATAGGATAAGTTTGTTGTGTTAACAAGTTTGTCAGTGCACGTCATTTTTTATGTCCATCACAAATAATAATTTCATATTGATTTATGTTTCAACAGTTTGTAGGCTTTACATTTGTTGTTTGGACTGAGCCAAATTATGCCAATTTCACAATTTCTGTAAAATATAATTTCATCGTAACAAATGCTACTGTCTTTTTTTTTTGTCAATCATACATATTAAAAGTTATTTGTAATATAATGAAAGTTATGAAATGAATAGTATTTTACAAGTTACCCTCTATTTATCAAAAATGTTGACAAGATGAAAAAAATCAAACATAAACAAATAACCCTATAGGAAATCGTCTGCTATATGAAAAAAATCTTACACGTCATAAACTGGTATTGCAAAGGTGAGGAAACACAACAAAATTCAAAGATAGTGACATTGTTCAACTAACTAATTCACGTAGTTTCAACTAACTAATTAAAAAAAAAAAAAAAAAGAAGAGAAAGTACCCATTTGGGATGCTCCTTGAAAGTGTATAAAATTAGAAAAAGATAATGTGAAAACAAAATACACACCAAATGTCCATGTGCATATATACAAATCAAAATATAAGGTCATCAAATACAATGAGAGGTGAAGGTGATTACATTAACAGAAGACAGGCCACGACCAAATGAGTGAGTTTCTACATTTGAGTTTATTTCTCTAACAGAAAAAGTAAAGCCATGAAACATAAGCAGAAGACCCAACACTTACCAAAGACCAAATAAGTAACAAATAAAAATCTAATAGCTTTGGTAAATCATGAAAATAAACTATGGCACAGATATTGGACATAAAGTTTAGAAGTATATTTGTTTAAGAAAATGCTCCATATAATATATATATATATATATTGGATAAAGGGCTGACCAAATCATATGCTAAAGCAGCAGCTCACTGTTAGTGAGAAGGATTTGGAGATGCTCTAGTACACGACCTGTAGTTTAATTGTAAAACTGAAAGACTCATTTTCCTTCTCATTCCTTTTTTTTGTTTCTTTTTTTTTTTTTTTTTTCCCTTTCCTTGGTGCACAATTTTAGAATCCCTATTCGTACGCCCTTAATTGCAAAGTTTTATGGCAAGCCCAAGCAGAAGATAGAAAGGTTTCCTTATGCTGCAATATTTGGTCTGTATTTTTTGTATGTGAAGGATTTGTATTGAAACATATGTGAGGATCAACCATTCATGAATTCTATAAATGAATAACTTCATTTCTGGTGCAAAATGTGCTCTTCTATTTAGGGGACTTTCTTTTTAATTACCCAAACAAAAAGTAATTTATTTTTACAACACAAATTGAAATTGGCAAGTGGTGAGACACAGAGGGAGAGAGAGACAAAGACAAAGAGAGAGAGAGAGAGACAGAGACAGAGAGACAGAGTTCATACATATACAAAAAACAAAGCATACAAGTCATGGTTATTAGATCCACACCCCCTACCACCAAACAACCCGCTTATTGCTAAACTGCTCTCGGTAGGTCATAGGAAGCCCTAAAACCCCCAACATGGTAGTATGTAGGAGACCTTCTGAAAATATTATCCAAGTCTGAATTTTGAAGACAAATTCAAATAGGAAAGTGGTCAGATAGAGCGACAGACACAGAGAGAGAGAGAGAGAGAGAGAGAGAGCGCGCGTGAGAGAGAGAGTTCATACATATATCACAAAGAGAGCATACGACTCATGGTTACATAGCAAAACAAAAAGAAGAGAAACTGAAGAGAGAGAGAGAGAGAGCGAAGAAGAGCATACCTACAGTTGAGGGATCATCGGAGGAGGGACTGTTTTTCCGTTCGCCTTGGCGGACTATCGTCGTCGCTTTGTTCGTCTTTCTGTTCAGATCAGAGCTTTTACTATGATCTGGTCTTGAACGAAAGGCCCTCTTCATCTTCAGTCTTTGATGTAGTTGAATAACTCTAGATACTACACCCTCCGTGATGGCTCTGTAAATATTCCCATCAATGTTTGACATAAAGCGGGGGGTGAAAACAAAATAAAGAAAATCAAGGAGGGGCAAAACGGTCTTTTTACAATGCATCTGGCAAACTTCACGTGAAGATACTGTACATAGGTTTTTAGGGTGAAATTTATAGACTTTTTGTCTTTTTTAGTAACTTTTTGGCTAAACCGGACGCTTCCCAAACGAGGCCTCAATTCATTTATTTTGGTTCAATAGATACATCCACTATATTTAATCCGTCAACAGAGGTTACACCTCACAAGTTTCCAACAGATAAAATCATCATTTAAATACATTCACTTCTATTTGTCATTTTACAGAAATTTCGTCTGTGGGAATCGGCACCTATGTATACGAATGATTTTCGAGATTTTCATCCTGAACACACAGGCCAACTTAGTTCAATAGAGTCCATCCCCTTTCTTCTCCTCAAAACATGAAGTACATCCTCTTTCTCCTCCCATATATCATACATATATAATGTATATCATTCATAATGGCCTTTCTTGGATGATAATGCAACTCAAAATCATAGTCCTCTATGAACTCCATCTACCTCATCTCCTTCAAATTCAAGTCTTTCTGTGTAAACAGATACTTCAGACTCTTGTGATCGGAAAACACCTCAAATTTCTCACCATACAAATAATGCCTCCAAATTTTCAAGGTGAATATTACCACAGCTAACTCTAGATCATGAGTAGGGTAGTTCCTCTCGTGTGTTTTCAACTGTTGCGAGCCATAGGCCACTATCTTTCCCTCTTGCATCAAAAGACAACCCAAACCTTCCCGTGAGGCATCACAATATACCGAATAGCCCAAACTCCTCTCCGAAATAATCAAGACTGAAGCAGTGGTAAGTCTAACCTTAAGCTCTTGAAATGACTTCTCATAAGTCTCACTCCACACAAATTTGATCCCTTTCCTCGTCAGTCTAGTCAATAGTGAAACTAACCTAGAGAAATCCTTCACAAATCTATAGTAATACCTAGCCAATCCCAAGAAACTACGGATCTCAAAAGCATTCTTAGGTGGCTCCCAATCTTGCATTGCCTCTATCTTGGATGAATCTACAGTCACCTTTTGTCCGGATACCGCATGGCCTAAGAACTTAACCTCTTTCAGCCAAAACTCACATTTCCCAAACTTAGCATACAACTTGTGGGCTCTAAGTAATTCAAGTACTACTCTCAAATGTTCCTCATGCTCCTCCTCAAAGGGTGAGTAAATCAAGATATTGTCCACAAAGGCAACCACGAAATAATCTAAGAACTCATGGAAGATTCGGTTCATCAAGTCCATAAACACAGCAGGTGCGTTGGTGAGCCCAAAAGGCATCACTAGAAACTCATAATGGCCATACCGTATACGGAATGTCGTCTTCGAGATATCCTCCTCCTTTACCCTCAACTGATGATAACCCGATCTCAGATATATCTTAGAAAATTAAGAGGACCCCTTCAACTAATCAAACAAATCATTTATACGAGGCACTGGGTACTTGTTCTTAACAGTTACCCAATTCAACTTCCGGTAATCTATACATGGTCGCAACGCTCCATCTTTCTTTTTGAAAAGGAAAGCCGGTGCTCCCCAAGGTGAAGTACTAAGACGGATGAAACCCTTATCTAACAATTCTTGGAGTTGAATCTTCAACTCACTTAATTCAGCAGGTGCAAATCTATACACTGCCATAGAAATCAGTGCCGTGCCAGGCACTAAATCAATAGAGAATTTGATCTCTCGGTGAGGTGACAAACTAATAAGATCCTCAGGAAAGACATCAGGGTATTCACAAACCACCATTGGCAACTTAAACTGGACTTCATCACATTTACCACTCAAGAAGCTAACAAGGAGGCAACTAAGCTCACTCCACCCATGCGGATCATATACCAGCGATAAAACTCTATCCACTCGGCCTCCCAAGAAATAAAAGCAATCACTGCTTAGGGTACATATAGTAACCCTCTGACGGTAGCAATCTATAACTGCCCGGTATGACAATAACATAGCCAAATAACATCAAAACTAGACATGTCAATCAATATAAATGCAAATGGAAGTCGACAACTAGCAACCTCTATGTTACAACCCCGACATCCCTATTTCAAAATAACCTCACCACCGATAGGTGACTCTACACAGATAGGAAATGCTAACTGAGCCAACTCTAACCCCAAAACCGATACAAATGCAAACGAAATAAAAGAATGGGATGCACCCAT